GTGATTTGGGTCGCCAGTTTTGGTGGCGGGGTATGAAGAAGGATGTGGCAGTTTTCGTGTCTTTTATATCTGCTGCATTTGTATCTGTTTTGGGTTTGGAGTTGGCGCAGTTAGCATCTCCTATTTGTGTTATGTCACCTGTTGGGGGTGAGTTGATTTTGAAACAAGGTTATAGAGGGTGCGATATAGAGGTAGTTGATCGTCGACTTCCATTTTCTTTTGTAGTTATGGCAATGTCGTGTTTTGATGTAATTTTGGATATGGACTGGTTATCGTCATACTAGACTGTTGTTGATTGTTACCGCCAGAGGGTCACAGTATGTACCTTAAGCGGGGTTTGTTTTCATTTCTTAGGGGATCGGGTTGGTAGTGTTTTGCCACCGGTGTATGATCCACGAGGGTGGAGTGAGCTTAGTGGTCTTCTCGCTAGCCTTATGAGTAGTGAGTGTGATGAGATCCAGATTGAGTTGCTGAGAGTGGTTTGTGAGTACTCGGATGTCTTTTCCGAGGATCTTGTTAGTTTGCCACCCCATTGAGAGATCGAGTTCTTTATTGACTTAGTGCCTGGCACGGCACTGATTTCCATGGCACCTTACCGTTTTGCCCAAACCGAGTTGAGTGAGTTGAAGATTCAACCCCAAGAGTTGCTAGATAAGGGCTTTATTCGTCCTAGTGTTTCGCCGTGGGGAGCACCGGCCCTCTTTGCTAAAAAAAAAGATGGTGCTTTGAGGCTTTGTATCGATTATCGAAAATTGAATCAGGCTACGGTTAAGAACAAGTACCCTATGCCCCGTATAGATGATCTATTTGACCAGTTGAAAGGGTCTCGTTGTTCTTCTAAGATAGACTTGAGAACGGGTTATCATCAGTTGAGAGTCAGGGAAGAGGATATTCCAAAGACGGCATTCCGTACGCAGTATGACCATTATGAGTTTCTGGTGATGCCTTTTAGGCTCACCAATGCATCGGCAGTGTTTATGTATTTGATGAACCGGATATTTCGGGAATTCTTAGATCGTTTTGTAGTCGTTTTCGTGGACGACATTTTGATTTATTCACCTTCTGAGAAGGAGCACGAGGAACACTTGAGAGTGGTGCTTGAGTTGCTTAGAGCCCATAAGCTATATGCTAAGTTTGGGAAGTG